CAGAGGTTGTGAAGAGTAAATTTCATTGCTGGAGAAATTTTGAGTCTTATGCCCACTGGAGTCCTCAGCGATCATTGAAGCTTCCTCAAGAAGAGAAATTCGGGGAGCAGGGGCGCCACAGGCATGTTTTTTCGGTGCATAGTTGACTGCTTTGCTGGGTTTCGGTGCATAGTTGACTCCTTTGCTGGGTCGGAGGTTACGAGTAGACATAGAAGTGATGCAGGATTTCGATGAAAACAGGTTTGTTATATATCAAAGTCATTACATAGCCTTATATCACAAGAACATAGTGATTACATTGCCTTGTATCAAGAACACAGCCATCGTGATATAGCCTTCCATACATAGCCATTTTCAAACATCTATCTTTGTTGATGTTGCTGTGCATCATTGTCGTCACAGCTGTGCGTCATCATCAACACAGCCATGCATTGTCAACATCACAGCTTGACTTCCAAAGGTCCCAGGATGCGAGAAGCATGTCCATTTAACTGGTATACCTATTATTATACTGTAGCTGTGTGTAGGGTACCAACGGCCTCGGCAGCATTACATCCTGAATTGATGTACCTTTAGCAACCAGGCTCATGTTACACGTTACGAGCCCAAAATAAGCAACCATTCATCCTGGCTGAGCACTCACAGAGCACTCAGGCTGAACACTCACAGAGCGCTCAGGCTGAACAACCATGGCATTACCAACCGGGCCTCTGTTACACGTTACATCATGGAAATAGTTGGTACCATACACACAGCTACAGTACATACAGAAAAACTAAAGGGGGGGCAGCATCGTCATCGTCGCCGTAGAACCTACCCCTCGTCAAACACCCATTGGGCCGGCCACCACCTGCATACGAGGCGGTAACCGTAGACACACATCACATACGAATGCGTGTCCTGTGGGGTCGATGTGTGGGCATTCGTCGTCTTCGTCGCCGTCCCCACATCCCACAAAGAGGGGGGGCCAGCGTCGTCGTCGTTGCGCCCACATCTGGCATGTATCATCCTCGTCACCATCCAGCTGTGCCCACATCCCTCAAAGAGGGGAGGGGCATTCGTCATCTTCGTCGCCGTCCCCACATCCCTCAAAGAGGGGGAGGGGCCAGCGTCGTCGTCGTTGTTGCAGCCACATCCGGCATGGATCGTCCTCGTCGCCGTCCAGCCGTTTCGTCGTCTTCGTCGCCGTCCCTACATCCCTCACAGCAACGTTGTCGCCGTCGTCAGCAAACACCGTCGCCGTCGTCAGCAAACACCGTCGCCGTCGTCAGCAACATTGTCGCCGTCGTCAGCAACGTTGTCGCCGTCGTCGGCAAACACCGTCACCGTCATCAGCAATGTTGTCGTCGCCGTCGCCACGAACGTTGTCACCACATCCACGTTGTTGTTGGCAAGACATTGGGGGAGGCGGAGTGGCGGGCAGAAGATGTTGAGAGGGGAAGCCGTGGTTGTCGTCCTTTCATTCGCGTGGTGCTGATAGGAATGGGAAACCGTGGTCGTCGTCCTCATTCGCGTGGTGCTGATGTGACAGATATCCCCCACACTCGAGAACCCCCGAAGAACACCCATTGGGCCGGCCACCACCTGCATACGAGGCGGCAACCGTAGACACGCATCGCATACGGATGCATGTCTTGTGGGGTCAACGTTGGGGGAGGTGGTGTGGGGGAAAGAATGATGGTTGAACGTGGAAGAAAGAAACACGAATCAAAATATCAACACGTATTTGCTTGTTTGGCTAACCTTTGTTTATCCAAACAGAGTCAATAAACAAAGATTTGTTTCGTGAATACTTAATACTATTGCCTCGCAATAACAACAGTGCGAATTGTTAAACCAATTCTAACTGATAGATAACATATTATAGACTACTCAACAAAAAAAACTAACTGAAACGACTTCAGGAACATATCTTAATAAGTCTGTCAACATGAGTGAACAGCGAAAAAAAGAATTGGTTAACCAAAATAACCTAACTCTACCAGCCCTTATATAGGAAAGTCTCCAAATGTAGGTGATCATTTCATTATAACTTGTTGAATGATTTGCTTATTTACCACTTCAGGACCTTGCATTTTTGGGAGAATTACAACATGGTGTCTATGACGATGAATGTGAGGGTCTTACAGAGGAAGAGATCAATGCATTTTACGGCTTTGCGGAGGATGGAGAATCACTAGATCTTGATGGAACATCTGATCAGGGATCGGAGGACTCGGAGGACTCAGAGGACTCGTATGAGTATGACAATGAGGAGCACAATGAACCAGGATCTGTGGACAATGTAATTAATCTGAATTTTATGACTTATTGACGTAAACTGACTGTTCATTAGATGCACAATGAACAAGGGTCTGAAGATGACATGGATTTGGATTCGGACCATGACTCCGACACAAAGGTTTCCGATCATGACTTCGACACAAAGGTGTGCTTTTCATGAAATTATAGACATGATCCATGATCTGACTTAGCATTGCAGGGAATTGATGCTAATATCCGACATGAGGCCATTCCAGTTCCCTTGGGATCTTGTCCATTCGATCAAGAAGGGCTGGACTTGTTTGAAAGCGGATTGAATTTATTAAAAGAGAGTGGTGAGCTTCCTGCCGGCTATGGAGTGACTCTAGATGAATTAGACGGAAATGAATTTGATGAAGAGGAGACAATTCAAGTCGGTATTAACAAAAATGGCCATCTCATGGCACTTCCACACCAAATTTGGAAACCTCGAACAGAATTATGGGTGCAAGGACTGTTTGTCATGACTAGTATTTTATCAGTGTCGAATTAATTTTTTATTTATCATGGTATTTAGTATATACATGTGGAACTTCATCGAGTATCAGAATCATCCCCTACCGTTTCCTTCGCCATGGCTCGCCGTTCATCGGGGAAGAGAAAGGCTAGCACACCTCCTTCAGCACGTTCCGCATCCCTTTCTGCTGATGAGAGCGACACTGTCTCCGATAACACCAAACCGGTGGCCAAAAGGCTTCGACTGACCTCTCCGGCACGTGTGAAGCAGGCAGCTTTGGCCAAGGTGGCAAGTTCCTCCAAGTCTGGTTCCTCGTCAAAGGGATTGGCTGGGTTTGCTGCCTTGATCAACAGTTCAAGCCTCTCTGCTGCCCGCAAGGAGACGAATCAGGGTCTTCGGTCAGGCTCCTCGAAATCGTCTCGTGGTCCATCGAAAGCTGCAGCAGGCAAAGTGGTATAATTTGTCTGTTCATGTAATGCTAAACACTGATCTTACCCATTATTTAGGATGATACGATCTTTTCTGTAGGAACGATTGTTTTCCTTATTGTTGGTGTTATGGCGGTATGTGTTTTGTTTTTTATCACTCATATTTTTATTCTGATATATTCCGATTATGTAGAATAAGGCAGCAAAACTTGACGATGCCACATCTTTTCTTCCAGCCTATGCTCTGCAATCTGATGTCGACATCTCTTCAGTCGCTCTGACTGGAATGAAGCAATCGGGCCTGTGTGTAACGAAGAGTTCTGGCTTCGATTTTCACCCAGATGACTCCTATCCAATTCTCGACACCAAGCTTCAGGCCCTTTTCCCTAAGCTATTCACATGGCTCTGGAAAGCGGAACCTGATGACGCTACTACTTCTTCCTGGCTAATCTGCATGAAACCTCCTCGTAGGAACCTCGCTGTATATTCTGATGACCGATTGCCCACTGGTATGGACATTATTGACGCTTGTAAGCTTGCAAATACCAAGGTTGGTGTCTCCCACCGGACACTCTTTCTGGGTGAGCTTCATTTCATCATATTTTTTGAGTAGCATGGATGCTAATTTTCTACCTATGCTAGTAACTCGTTATCCTGTTCCTGCAGCAACACTCCTTGAGTGGAAACCACGAATTTCATTGGCCCAGGACCCTGTCGTTAACAAAGACTCAGATGTCGACGACACTGATAATGACACCCCCAGCCCTACACTCAGCGCCATCCCCTTACCCTGCACCCAACGATCTTTGCGACCTCGCCATGTCAGGAGTGAAGATGAGGTAGAACAGGATATAATCAGCATCTCAAGCATGTCCGGTACGAAATTCAATTTCAGTGTTTAAATTCACAATTTAACTGTACATTTGTTGTTATAGATGGTGAATCGTCAGCCCCAGCACCTAAGATCCCTATTCCTGTCACCAAGGCCCCCACCATTTCATCCATCGAGGTGATGCAGGATTTCTTTCACTCGTCCTTCAATTTTGACAATGAGGAGAATCCTTGGGTCCCTAGAGCGTAGATACCACACCATAGTCACCATTTCCATTGAGGCGAGCATGACCTACATTCATTTTTAATCACATCGTAATTCCAACTATGCTACATTCTTTTTCCACCCAATATAATGTTCATCCAATATCGTGGTGGCCCCAATAAATTGAGACAATAATATATTGTTACATTTTAAACTCCGCCTACAGTGCCGAGGCTGCCAACAATACATCAATTACCTAATCACGGCACCACGGCATACTTAAAAAGGTAGGAAGCCAAAAAATCCGCACAAGGGTCTCAGTAATTTCCGCGCACGAATAATATTTTTTGCGGCACTTGATAATATTTCTGGGCACCTCATAAATCCGTCAATAAGTTTCCGTGCATGTAGTAAAAGTTTATGCGCAATCAAATGTATTTTTGCGCACACATGTCAACTTTTCTGTGCACAACTAACATTTCTGCGCACTGAATTTATTTCTGCGCAAGTACATAAATATTTTCGCAACACTACAAATGGTGACTTGAATTCTGCGCAACATTACAAAAAAAATTGCGCACAACATAGACTTTTGCGCGCCAACATGTACATTAAGGGAATACTTACCCAAACGGACCGCCATAAGCGGGTGGGCCATGGGGTGACATGGGGAGGCAAGTCTGCAAAACTCAGTATGGAGTACCTGTCTGCACCCCGACACAAGGATGTAAACAGAGCCCCTGATTAAGCATGCCCAGCGCCCCAAGTGAACCCCGCCAAATGAAGAGAGTAACGAACGACTTCTCACCTTGTAAACACCAGCAGTCTCTTGCTTATACGTCGCCAACATCGATGTCAACGGGATAACGGCGCCCGTCTCGACGTTAGGCTCGGAACCTACGTGGATAGCGCGCGTTCCGAAGCCATCTTCCATCGGCTTTGGTTTGGCACCATTCAAGACGACGGGCTCACTGAGAAGTCTCCTGGGGACATGGAGTGAATGAGGGTGGTAATGTATTTATGAAGTGTTTATGATGGAAGGCCACGGGAAGAAGAATTTGGAGAAGAATGGCATGGCGAAAGATTGTATCCAAGATCCGTTTGCAACGATGACGTCGAATCACGATGCTGACAAGCAATCATGTGCGTGTCAGAATTGTGTTTCCGCGCCACACAAACATTGGCCGCTAATCTTACAACCAACTGACAACAAACGCGACAACTTTCTTGGACACGAGACAGCTTCAATGGAGCCCGCTTTTGGTCAAAGGTAAGTGGTCTATATGAGCATCGTACTAAGCTTCCCATCAAGAATTGCGAGGGAGTACCTTTTCGCTCGATAAAGCTAACAACCAAAAGGCGTTTGCGTCTCTGTCTCTCGAGATAAACATCTCGACGTACATTTATCGTAAGAGGCATACGCAAGTATCTTTCCATAATGTGTTCACTCTCCGGAATGATGAACATCTCATCTCAGATTTTTATTATTTCTACAATCATAAACTACCCCCGGCTGAAACTCGACGCGGCGTTTGAGTAGATCGACAAGTAGTGCGAGGAGGCCGTGAAGTATGGGTTCAAGGTGAGTTCGTGTTATTATCTTATCTCTCCCGATCGCTTGAATCCACAATATCTCTCAATTTTGCATGCCTCGGAACGCCTCAAAACCTATCTCGCGACCCAAACAACACACCACGTTCCGTGATGCGTCCTTGGTTTTCCTCTAGGTCCAGGATCACAGACAAGTTCGTCCTTTCTCCCCTCCCTATGCCTCTGAACCGTTTTACTGATTTCCACCCCCGTTTCTCGTTTTATAGGTCTTCTCATCAATCACTCAGAATTCATGTCTCATGAGCATCAATCCATCACGCTCGCGCTCAACTCGCACTCCTCCTCACTGCCCTCATTTTCAAGACTCAAGACTCGGCTTTTTGGTATTTTTTTGCTTTTATATTGCCCCTACCTCCTACCCTGCCTTAACCTGTTGTCCACGTTTGCACTGGCCCACTCCTCCATTGATGTTGACGATAATGCAACCCCTTTCCCCTCCTGGCCCTCAGTCAGGAGCTAGGTTTCCACTGGATCATGGCTAGGACTTTTGCTTCCACGAGCATTGCCCTCAAATTGGGGAAGAGACGTGCGGGAACACAAGCCATATTATACAGGCATTTCTCCAGAGATTAAAGCAGACATCCTGATTTTATCATTAAAAATTCTTTCAAGACTTAGAAATCATAGAATAAATGAACAGTAATTTTTATCCAGTGCAAAATTTTACGCAATCTCTACGAACTCTAAGACTCCGAGAACACCAGAGCGTTCAAGGTCACCACTTACACTCCTCCCTATGATTTCCCTGAGGACTGATCCATTGACCAGCTGATGAGCTACACTGTTGCCTTGCCTGCGAATAGAGGATTTTCTCTCTGTGAGGAGGCGCATTGCCTGGGCGTTTTTGGAAAGTCTGGCTATGGGTGGGGGAGGTAGGCCCTGTGAGTCCACAAGATCTTGTGCGACTCTGAGGCGGAGCTCATCAGAATACTTTCCACAGGCATTTAATTTCGTTCGCCAGGCCGCCGAGGGTGTTAAGATGTTGTTAGGTGACACTAGACCGGCAAAGTGGGCCAGTTTTGCCTGTCCAGCATCGAGCAGGCTTCGAAGACGAATCCGGTCAAGTAAGAGGGGGTCCTGAATCCCCGGTGAGCAACAGCTGACACAATGTAGTTGGAGAAAAGTGCACCTTGTGCATAAGACACCACTCCAAGTCTTCTGTGCGCTCTACAACCTCTCCATATTGCTCTACCCGCTCTTCCTTTTCAGTAGCCCACATATCCTGGAGAACCCTAGTGGTTTCCTCCAATTTCCTTCGCTCCGCACGCTCAGCCTCCAGCGCAATCTCTCGCTCCTTGCGCTCAGCCTCCAGCCCCTCATCTCTCTGCAACATCATTGTTTCGAGACGTTGGATTTTCGCCAGTAGCGCCTATGTGGGGTTTTTCGTAGAAGGCCAAACCTGGCGAATGCAAGGAACAACTTACCGAAGGATTGAGCTCGGAGGCATCAGTTGAACTGCTGGTTAGGTCACTCACAGCTTGGGCCGTGTTTTCCCTTACTGCAGTCGCTTGAGCCCTGGCCAGCTGGTTTTTCCCCTTCTTACTAGCTGGTATTCCTGCTGAGCAGGATGAACAAAATCAGAGAAGAGAACATACCTTCGCCCTGCAGTAATTCCACCATTGCACTCAAACTTCTTTGGTTTGCTTCTAAGTTGGCTATGGTACGTTCCAGTTCCGTATTACGGTTGGATTGCTGAGTCGAGTATGCTCCCAGTTTGAGGAAAGGGTGTTCGGATGTGACCTCTACTAGGCAGAAGCCCGCCTCGCCGTTGAACATCTCTTTGAAAGGTAGGTCAGTGGGTGTCGGCATTCCAACCGTTGTCGCTTCTTGAAAAAATTGATTGATTATCGGTTGTGACACTGAGACAATAAGTCACATACCCTGCAAAGTCGGGTATTTTGGGACATAGGGTATAATTCGTGTGCAGGTAGAACGAATCGTGCCTTTTGGGCAGCCGTAGTGGCCTTCAACAGCAGCAGCATAGCTGTCTAGGACCTGCGCTTCTGTCGCCTGGCTGTCAACATTACTGAGGACGACAGTCTCCATCAACGGGTGGAACTGGAGGACCAGGGAACATGGGACCGAGGGTTCTGACATTGCGGTTGGGTATGAGGAGGAGATGAAAGTAGAAGATGGAGTCCGTCCAAATGGTTTTTACACTTGTTATCGATCTCCTACGCACTCTCCCTGAAGGCCATCAATCAGACCTGTTTCCAATCTCGGCAAAATTCAAAACTGGGGGCAAGGTGACTGACACAGAGTTGACGTTACTGTCCGATTTTGCTCCAGTGTGAGCGATCATGACGGGTTAATAGAATGTTGGGCCGCGGCAATTCGGATAGCCGCTTTTGCTGCAGAACTTTGATGCATCAAAAAATCATACATACCAAGTTCACAGATATTTTGACGGACTGACCTGTTAAGGCTGGCAGCGATTACAAGGCTGTGCCAAACTCCGCCTTCGATAACCTCAGCTACGGTGATGCAACCGGGTAGGTTACAGGAGATAGGGCGAACTTAACTTTATGGATGTGCATAGATGATGCTCGTTACTGAAGACGGCTGCCGTTACAGACTGACAGTTGAGACATAAATGTTTTACTTATATTTTAACGACTCACTTCATATTTAGCATCGATCAGAAAGAACAGGAGAAGGGGTTCGGGTACCAGTTTAAGGCTCAGAGAGATCATTGCAAGAGTCCGCACCGACCACCGGTGTCTTTGTCCCCCCTAAAACAACAAAGACAGTGACAGCGGGCACAATAATAGCTCCAACCTCCTGGCTCATACCTAAGTATAGGCTCACACGTACAGCCATCGCCACGCCCGAATGCGCTGTGTGGGCAAATGAAAAAAAGGGGGATCTCCCCGAAAAGGAAGGTACAGCCTCCGTCAAACGTGTGAATCTGTGATTGTGTAATTTACGATAAATCACGCATTCGGCCGACATTCGGCATCAGTCTTTTGGGTTCTGCAGTGTTCCTCTTCCTGTTTTGCTTCCCGACGACTCGTTGTCCACCGCTGTTCTCTGGCTTTGGAGTTTGAGGCTCTATCAAGGTGAGTGTGTGTCTGAATTTGAAGGAATGTTGTCACTGACAGCGATACGTGGCTAGGTATAGGAGACCGATGATTGGATTTGGAAGAATTGCTTCCGTTTGGACTTTCTGATTGAGACAAGGTGTGTCTTGCGAATTCATGCGATTTTGAACCTTCTGACTCCTTTTTAGTTTGTTATGTCTTATATTTTGCTTTTCAGGTTCATCCATACCACTTTCACCCATCCTGTTGACGCTCACTGTTTCGATTACGCCAAGCTCGACTCACGCCAAGACTCGAATCAAGACACGTAGGAAGAAGATTACTTCATCACAGGTGAATATCGTCCTCGAAATCGACTCACCACTAGACCGCGAGCCGTGCGACGCGCAGGACTTCTCAGCTCACGATGCGCAATGTCACTTTCTGTTTGACAGCCATTCGTGAGTTCCTTCCTTTCCTTCCTCTCTGTTGATGTTGACTTGGACCCGCAGGAGGCGACATTCATAGAGACTGGTATCTTGGAAGAACTTCGCGGAAGCATGGAAGCGTGGATGCCTAAGCAGATACCTATAGCCTGCCATTAAAGTGAGTAACTTACGTTCCTTTTCCTCGTCCTTTTCCTTCCTTTTCAACCCAACTCACTTATGTCCCAGTCCCATATGACCAGTGGTTCCTGACCCACATCGTCCCCTCCTGGAAGATCCGCCACATTCATGCAAATCATCCCCGCCAAATACCTTTCCCTCCCATTCGGCCCTCGCAAAGTCACGCGCGAGGCAGTGGGGGTTACGGATGAGTCACTGGGGTGTTTGATGGTTTAGGAAGGAGAGGAGCGCGGGAGGAGTGGGGGTGGGGGTGTTGGGCAGGGGCAGGGGGTGGGAGTGGACGGGGCTTAAGAGGGTGGTGTGGGAGGAAGAGGAGGATCGACTGCGGACAAGATGCGTGACAAGTAAGGAGGATGCTTGTATCTTTGAAGTTGCATGGGAGGTATTGGAGATCAAAAAGGAATATTGGACCCGCATGTGTTTTTCAACTGAGCTTTTGGCTCGTAGTAATAAGAGTTCGAAGGTGTTCGATCGATATAAAATATCGCATCATTGTGAATTACTCACCGAGTCCGCGAAAACGTCCGAGGATGGCTTTCATGCAGTGAATTGCAAGGCTATCCCTTCACAACGTGCAGAATACACGTAGCTTCCTCCGATGCTCTCCCGTTATCTGATCACGATACGGGGTTAACTGTAGAAGCAACCAGAACTCGGACGTCAGTCACCGAGAAGTGAGGAACGAGTGATACTAGGTAGGTGCTTGCAGAAGCAAACGAAATTACAGAAAGCCAACAATCTAGATAATATATCGTAGGAAACACTCGCCTCAGACGTCAGTCACCGAGAAGTGAGGAATGACTGAGGTGAAATGGCATAAGGTTTTCATATCTGACTGGAGGTTTGATGCAAAGACTGGTAAGTAAATGACCGCAGTGAAAGAGAGAATGAAACAATCAAGAGCGTACGTGTAAGGTCAGTCTCCTCTGACATTTGGCTGAAAGGAAGGTGTTGACACACAGCCTGGATGACTGCTAAATAGTTCAGAGCCCTTACCTAGCCACATCCAATTGCGCATGCGAGTCGAAATCAACATCGCACCCGACAATGAAAACCAATGTCCAGTAATTTGGCAAGCGGTAGAGTAAAGCGCTTTGTTGATGCATACGGGTTGAAGCTTGAAGCCTTGCTACCGAACAACAAAGATGAAACGGAAGAAGGTCAGACTGGGCATGCCTTGATCACGAATGAGAATTTCCAAAAAGTGTCGCAGAGCCCTGGCGTTTGAAGAGTCGGAGTCAGAGAGACTAATCATGTGGCCGTTTCTATTTGACATCGACCTCTTGGAAGTTGGAGCTGGCGGCGACAGCCACCGACCGATACACATTCTCATCCTACAACTTTAATATAGCCTATTCTGTGAGAGAATGGGGTCGTTCCTCTGGACCTACGACCAAGAACCAATCATAGTTTGGACCTGCTCGCTATGATCTGACAACCAGGGCCAATTCTCACTAGTATATCGCTGATAGCCTTCGCAAGGGCATCCGGCTGTTCTTGTACCACCTACGCAAGCAGAATGAGTTTGTTTCGAAACAAAGGGTATGAGACACATACCATATGTCCAGCTTGCTTGATTTTCGTTACAGACGCAACTATCCGACCTTCAGTAACATCCGCCAACGAGTCCTGAATAAATTCCGGGCTGCCCTTTGTTGGCTAGGGGATTACCGGAGAGGAGGCGAAGGACGTACACGAGATCATTCCTTGTCCCCCAAATGAGGTGTATAGGAATCGTATGACAAACATTACCCAACTGAATAGCGGCTTCAAAGTGGGGCTCTGTATCCGGGTAAGATACGGCTTCCATCCTACGCTCGCATTTGAGGGTAACACCGCCCCCACCAGGCAATTCACGTAATCCGTAACGCTATGCCAATATCAGATATGTGAAAGAAAAAGGCAGCGGAGAGGGCTTACTGTGAGCAGAAGGATTACGCGTTCGTCCCAAACCTTCCATGGGATCCTTTTCTTGAAGTACTAGAATGCCTCGTCCCGGGAAGGCCAGACGTCCCGGCGGGAAGATGTGGCTGCGACGGAAAAATCCATGGCGGACATGCGGTCTTCCAGTTCAGAGTTGAATACTTCCCGAGTGACGATAGTAGGTTCGATAAGAACCATGGCGGCGAATGTAGATGGGGGGATTTCCTTGGTCGTTAGCAACCTAAGACAGCAGAGAGGTGGCATTAGTGGCGAAAAGACGGCGGGAAAAGAAGGGAATTGAACTATGGCGCTGATCGTAAATAGGATGCGCGAGGCCGCAAAGCATCACGGCTGGTCTGTTCGTAACGATGATCATGTTAAAAAAATGAATACGTACATCGCAGCTGCGCCAGCAGAATGCCCTAAAGGTACGATCCGGTGTCCCTGCATTCGAGGTGAGCGGATGAAGGCTGCCAACGCAGGTGTCCATTCGTAAACGGCTGTTGATGGTGTTATTAGACAACGAAACCCAAAACATAATTCTTGGCGGGCGATGGTTCCGAGCACATGGTAGCATGTGGAAAACACACACAGCCCCATCCCGGCTGTGTGTACGAAGAGCTGAATAACTCACAAACACACTTTGTACGATCCTTCAACAGGTTGTGATTCAGGACTGCAGCATCTCCGTGGCTCTGCCAGTCGAATGACCACGCCTCCCGAATCCGATGCACCTCAGCTTCGGTCTCTTGGACTTGGAAGAGGCGTTGAATGACAGGCTCCCACTGCTCCTTATCTAACCTGTTCATTGACGCGTGTCGTATGTGTGATAAAATGGATACTCACGAGAACCTATGCAATGAGCGAATAGCAACGTCAAGCCCTTATTATTCGCCCTCGATCTACTTGTGTACCGTTTCGCCGTAATTTTCAGGCCATAAGCGCCAGGGTCGTCGAAGACGAAGTACTCAACGTCGATATCCATGATGAGAGTAAGAAAATGAGGAGGCAACAGAGAACAAGATCATTATCGGTGCCAAGGTTGTGAGGTGAGTTTTGATGAGAAATTATCACGTGCAAGTTCTTCGGCAATTTTCTTGAACAACGTCAACCAAGCTCGTCCTTCTTCCTTACGCATATTATGCGCAAGAGAGTTGCACCGAATGTATTCAGAGCGTTATAGTGTTCGCTTGTCTCTCTTCGACGCCAGGCCCTGTCTTTGAGGGCTGTTCAACTCGATGTTCAATTTTGAATCACCCATTCCAGAGGCCCCGCTGCATGGGTATCCATTACTAAGAAATCTAACAAGAGAGCGGGTCTTATTCCTCCAGAATACTTGCCAAATAAGCTCCGACGACGAGACGCAATAGGCTCGGATATCTTTTTGTGTCCTCTTTCGACGCAAAGATGATGTCAAATCTTGTATCCACCTTCTTGCGTAAGTGAAGACATTCTCCCATCGCCAAAAATCGTAACAAGTTTATGCGCATTTGACGGGTGCCACATACAGTCCATGCCCGATGTTGATGAGTTTGCGCCATGTTTTGGTATCATACTTTTTTTGAGTGTGCGAAATCTCATACATGCCTAATAGTAACAATTATTTCGTAGAGACTAAGCGCCCGCTTTATCAATGCTGTTTTTGGCGCGCTCCCCCTTTGTTCTTTGACGACGAGATTGATTGCGATGAGGGCAAGTGACGCAAAGCCATCACCCCACACGGGGAGCGGTACAAGCTTCCTTGCAGAACCAGCCTACTTTTATTAAGTCCTAAGTTGGCCACCGAGTTAATATCTAATGAACGTATAGATAGGTAAAATAACCTCTTCGGGGTGTTGTCAATGCTTGCGCTGCACCGAGTGGGAAAAAAAAGCCGTGTGATCAATAGATCGCGGTTTGTTGCCACTGATAATTCAGAGAGTCGTGTCTGTAAAATGAGCCAGTCAAAAGCATTTGACTGGGGTCTATGCAGCGACACGTGATCCGCCCGTTTGGGCTTTCCTTATCGCTTTGTCGCCTCGCTCCTTTCCTCCCTCGTGTTCTCTTTGTTTCGTCTGCGTATATACTATGTCTCACTCTTCCATTCATCCTCGTGCCCTCATATTTCCATACCACTCACATAGAGCTCGTTAGCGAACATCTTTCTTTTCACCCGCCCTTACCACGTACCCTTTTTTCTTTCTGTTTCTTTTTCACTTTCACGTCTCATGTATTACATACTATTCGCCTGTGCCGGCTTGAGCTCGGCCCTCCCCTTGCGGGATCCGTGCGAGAGAGCTTGGGCGACCAAACAAGATTGTTTGTCTCCAACTTTGGGCTCTCGCGTGAACACGCTCTCAGCCATTTCTCAACTCACTCGGAGTACGCATAGACACGCCAGTTGAGAAGAATGCGATGCAAACGAACGGGTGTTGATCTTCCTCCGTCCAATCGGGACCTGCATAGCACCGCCTGGCGCCTTGAATGCGTGAGTTGAAATGCTTTGGTGCTAGCAATTTGTATGTCGGTCCCGATGAAAAGGCAATTGTATCAGCAGAATTCCTTCTAGCCGACTTGAAGGACTGAACGTGAGTCGGAGTCATTACTAGTGACGCGCTCTACCAACTAAGCTAAGGAGGAAGTCGAGGTCTATTATGATATCACACGCTCCGCAATTATCGATGATGAATCGTAGCGATAGCTGTCTTCCAAGGAACATAAGAAAGTCCTGGAGTGGTAGTTGGTCAACAGAGCAAACAGGGACGAAATATTATGTGATGACAAACGTGACGCGTGACGATGGATCGTCTTTTCCTTGATACTGCCAACCACCACATCCAACCAATAACCCACCACTTTTCTGCCATCCATCGTCTACCATCATGGTATCATTACCAGAATCCCTCTCTGGCAAATCTTCTTCCTCTTCATTCCGCATGCCACCACTAATGAGTAACAATGCAGCCACTCTTCGTGCCCACTCTCCTCCAACCGTCGATTTACGCCATATGACATCCAGCCTCAGCTCACCTACACCCCTAACGAGGCCTGCGCACAAACTAAACCCGACTCGGATCGCGTTCACCCAACTCAATCCCTTCATCGCCTACCTCGGTGTACGTGTCTTTTCTTGCCCCTCACATGTACCCCGATCTGACATGATAACCACAGCCGCTCGTCTTCATCGGCGATTTTCGAATGGGACATCGAACCTCCCGTTATCCCCTCTCCGCCCACACTCCCCCATCACCCGCCCAACCCCCATAGGGTATCACGCGCGAAGTCGACTGAACAGTTGGAGCAGTCCGTTCCATCTGTTTTGGATTCCGCCGCGTCCATCCTCGCGTCCATCGACGACTCGCATGCGGAGGAGCAGGTATCTGTAGAGGCCCCTGCCTCTCGGAGCAGTGGCTTTGCCAGCCCGTTGAGTTTCAGGAGCAGGAGTCTCAATCCATTGGGTGTGAGGAACGTGTCCGCTGTCGGTGTACCAGTCCACAACCACCTTCTGAGCCCAACTACCATCCCTCCCGTCGTCGCTCCGCATTCACCCACCCAGCTTCCAGCGGTCAGGTCTACGATCCAGACACGGACGGATTCGGCGACAGCAACGGTGGCTTCCATGCCATCCCTCGTTACGCCTACGTCGGCGTACTTCTCGACTACGTCATCGATCGGTAGTTCGTCGTCTTCGTCTTCCCCTACTACGACCACTGCGCAAGAACATCCGCTTGCGTCGCTTCCCGAGCCAAACGCACCGTTCCAACATGCCTCTAATACGAATAGCCCCAATGCGGGGTTCTCCCCCCTTTTACTGTCTTCTCATCCCCCATCCCCTACCCACGCAGCAAAGAAACGCCTTTCGTTCATGTCATTTTCGGATTTACTTTCCTCCACTCCGACGTCTACGCTACCCCTTTCGTCGCTTACTACCTCGGCGTCGACTTTTGAACCACCCCCGCATATACCTGGTGTTAGTGGGCTGGGGATCGTTTCTGGGGGTGGACTGACGAACGAGAGGTCGAGTATAAGGGGTGGAGTGACTCATCCTGGAAAGAGGGATAGTATTGCGTTGTTGGATAACGTTGGTGGGGAGCGGGAGAGGCAGGGGCTTGGCATGGGGTTGGAAGAGAGGTTGGATGCCGTTTTGGGCAAGGCGTAAGGAGTCGTTGACCGCCCTTTGAGCTGAGTATGTTATCCTTTTTCGATTTTCTTTATGCTTATCCTTGTTTGTCGGACTTGACGTCGTTTATGTTACACCGCCATCACTAATTTCGTTCTACCACTATGAATCATTTACTTACAACGCGTAAAATCGTCATCGTTGTACATTTTTATTTATTTTACTTTCGGTATTTTGTATGTTATCCCGAGGCACGGTTGCTCTCCAATCTTATGCTGTCGAATCGACTGTTTTCAACATTGGCAGTGGGTGTGCATTACGCGTACTTTTACTATAGAAGAACGGGTCGGGATCACAAAACATATTCGGATTGGTGACTACGACGACGTTGACGGTGGGTAACACCAAATGTTAGATGTTCAACAGTTGAGAAGATTGGCCTATGGTGTATGTCTTTTAGTTTCTTATCAAGATGCCAGTAGACGTAAAACACCACACCTAACAGTCAAAATGAGACAAGAGGGTTGACTCGCCATCGCGGTAGACAATACCTGTCATGCTTTCCCCGGCGATCTAGAATCAAATGGAATGATTAGTATATTCAGGCAAGTGATGACAGACATACTTATTTTACACCATGCGATGATAAAACAACCTTGAAACTCCGGATATGGTATATCGCGAACTAGGAAAGAGGACGTGAGGTATTAAATGTACGGTATGAACAATCACTTACATTGTACTAGGTCCCGTAGCTGGTTACGATAGAGGAAAACGAGAATATTGATAGAGCGATACCCAAACGCTCGTTATGCCTCCGTGCCGTCCAAGCGCGGAAGGTCAATATCACTAAAGCAGGTAAGTTCAACGGGACTTTTTGATGGTATGCATGTGCGTTGTGTTTTTGCGGATTACATGCCTCATGTGAAAGTGTATGGACAGTGGCAACTTACCAGAAAAATGACGGCTTATCCCCACCATCCAGCTCTCCGACTCGGACTGGTGTCTCTCACTTGAGCGACGTAAATCAGGCAGACGGCCGGGATATTGTGGCTTGTGGAGCTTTTCTGGAGTGCATTGGCGTCGTCGGACTGGGTGTTAACGATAAGCAACGAGCGAGTAATCATGCCAGTAAAGATGCATAAACCTCACGGTTCTTTGGCACCTACTCCTCACACAACTTCTCAATCTGCTCAATTACCAGGAGGTTGTGGTCATGTCGGGCAGTGGCGCCAAGCGTTGCTCAGAGAGCTGAAGCACGATTCTGGCGTGTTCTACGTTGGCTTGGACGGATTTGCCTATGCTCGTAGGCTGTCTGACATTATCGGACTTGAGGATAATTGGCTTTTCAGACAAGGCGTGAAGCTTCAAGGCCTGGATTTTCAAAACTCGAGTTTGAAAGGTATGTTTTTCATGCTGTATTTGATTCATTATTCACGATAATTTCACCCAGATAGAGAACTGTTGGGACCTTAGGACGCAGTTGCCTCACTTCTTCGCCACCGCCATCCCCAAAGCCAAGTTAATGTCAAGAAGACTGCGTCTCGGAGAAAATTTGACGAATCAGAGAAACGCATTGCGTTATAGGTATCCTCCATCTCGTCGACCCCCAATCATACACATGCATAATTTCTGGATCGCCCGAAATTCTTGCATCTGGCACAACAATCCTTATCAACTCTCAGATTTCCTGAATTTCCGTCTGCTGGCATCCAGATCCTTATTATTCCCGAACTTCATGGATGTAGATGACGCCTTCTGGTTAACGCTCCATTTTTGGGAGTGACGGGATCGTCATATATAACACGGTCAGCTGGGATGTAATCTGGCTCAGAAATACAGTCTTTTCTTCTACCATGAGATTTGCCATTGACATCGCTTTCATTGCAGCTGCAATTTTCTATGAGAGAGCAGCACCCATTGACGTCGAGGTATGATGTTGTGGATCCATCCATTTCAACCCCCTGCTGATGACAGGCTGTGGTTTGTTGTCTGCAGGTTGGAGAAGTAGACGTTGATACACCATATGATAATGGTCCTTCAACCAAATGGCAATCCTCAAGCAGATAAGCATTGCTTAAGGGTCCATACAAAGATAGTAGATTTCAATGAACCCTAAAAGTTCAAAAATTATATACCAGGCACAAAACAAAAAGAACCAGACTACATGAGAGTCATCTTGGGCTTGTACTTATCTCCATGTCTAAGCAGGATATTATCAGTGAATAACGTGAAGACGATACGTCTACCCTTTGTCACAGGAGCACTACAATGGACAATAACACGGGCAGTAATGGCAAGAACTTGCCCAGAGCGAATGGGTATTTTCTCACCCAGTTGAGGAGAGCAAAACTCGCCACCCTCCCAGTCACCAACTGGGAGAACAAAGGCCATGTTATCCTCGTCGTCGTTCCAATCCAGGTGAAGCAGTTCACTTGCCCCTTCTTTGACTGCCACCGTACAGAAAATGCCCCCAAAATTGAGACAAGGGCGAGAGCGATACTTGTGGGTCCTTCCTAGGATACCCTGGACACGTTGATGGGCCCTGTCCCCATAATCAGAGAAATATTGAGTGAGACATAACAAAATTTACCTCATCAAACGGGCAAACTGAGCAGGGCAAAATCCCCTAAATGCTTGGGTAATTTTTGGCGCGACATGGGTGCCAATGCAGGACAATAGGAAGTCAATAGCTCTGTTTGCACTTGAAGAGTTCTGACATGTATCTGCTGTGACATAGGGCCGGCTCTGGGATAACTCCCAGACCCCCAGATGAAGAGCAGGTGTCGCTGAGCGATTTTTGTCGGGAGGAGGAAAAACAACAGGTGTGGCCAGGAGGAGGTCCCAGGCCTGGACAAGTTGCTTGGCAGCAAGCTTAGAGATCAAGCAGTCAAATCGTATTGCCAGGTAGGGGAGGCGTGCAGGATCAAGAGGTTCACCATCGGTAGGGAGAGGCCTGGGGTATACTAACCGGCCATCAGGGCTGGCAGAAGGTAATTCTCGAGGAATTATTCCGGGAAAGTGAGCATTCATTGCTGCCACGACAGCCTTTCCATCTTTCTTAATGCCCAAAAATTCCGATGGGAATTTTGGAAGTGTCCTGGTTGCTAAATCCCTGCCAATCAGGAAACGGTTTGGGCACCGTATGAGGGTTACGCACTGGTGACGCTTTCCAAGCGCTTCTTTGCCATTTCCGGCCCACCGCTCTTGACCCATTTTTCTGTGTGTGCTCTCCTTCGCTCGGGGTTTCTCGTTCCGCGACCAGGCATGGCTCGTGGCGGAATAAAAATGTGACATGTTCTGTCATTTCCGTTACAAATAAACAACCGTAACAAACAATGCTCGTCATCATCACCCCTTGGACAGCATACAACAGCCAGTCAAGCTGCGTTCCAGACGGTTAGCGACCAAAAATGGATATACAGGAGTGATTCGCGACTATGTGGTTTGCAGATCTCCTGTCCATTCGAGGTTGCTTTCTGTTGGTGTAGACGACACGCTTTGAACTGAGATCACTAAATGTCTTGCACTTGAGCCCCAGTGAGGACAATTGTTCACGACTTTCTTTCAATTTCACTCATCGTCATCACTAGGCTTCAGATGCCCCCGATTCAGGACTATGAGGTGGATAGCGAGAGCGCCAAGGACCATGGTGAGCACAGCCTTTCAACCATCCTTCACGAGCTCAGCACGTTGATTAGACACACCGCCGCTCGTTGACTACTCGGCCGCATCAACGACATACGGCAAGAGACGCGATTCGTCGTACGCATCCCCCATCCGCCCAATGCCTTTATCCTCTTCCGGTGACAAACACAGTACATTTGTCCAAAATCATTGGTATGTCTTCGCGATGTCTACTTTAACCACAAATTTTGATTCCATCATCAATAGGGATGTACTGGAAATCTTTGTTGCACGAAGAACGCGAGAGCTTGGAGGCCAAAGCCGTAATTGCTCAAGCTGAACACCATAACAAGTACCCTGATTGGAGGTTCCGACCGGGGCCAACGCGATGCCAAATCTCACGATCAAGGATGGCGGTGCAGTCATTCGAAGAAGAAGCACTCGGAGTCGCAAAAAGGACCCTCCTGACACTAGTGATGCCGGCGCGGGGGATGAAAGGGAAGATTGAGCAAAAGGTAGGGATAAAGGGGATCACAAAGCACAGACAAAGGGGAAGGAAGAGTCAAGGTGCGAGAAAATTGCGAACTTGCTTGTGGAGGGAAGAAGGGCGCCGATTTGGGAAAGGCTACGAGTGGGAGGGAATGTTGATGAGGGCGAGAGCTCGGATTATCTTTCTGGCTCACCCTCCTCCGTTAGACCCCGCCGCTCTCGAAAGACAACGATCCCTGACGTCGATTCTATCCCTCGGGTCACCGTCACCGCTCATGTCGAGACAACCCCAATGCGAGATGTTTCTCAGCCCGACTCTACCTCCACTCAAATTCAATCCGACGACCCTTCACCCCCTCCCGTAGGCCTCTCCGCAGTCCCGCTAATCCACCTGTTCAAACACACACCCTCCCTTCCGTCAAGTAACCCGCGCTTAACACTCCCTGCATCTCAAATCACTCTCCCCTCTGACGCCGCGTCGCCAGGAGACTGGAAAGCCAGCAGGATTGGTACACCAGGCACACCATCATTGCGTCGTCACCCCCAAAAATGCAACCACAGGAGATACCGCCGCATCATTCCCGCTCCTCTGCACTCCCTTTACACCCTCGACATCTCCGGTGGGAGGATGAAGAAGCGCGTTGAAGGAGTGGGTTATCCCAAGAGGGCGAGTGTCGGTGGCCGTCGTCGGGTTTGGAAGACCAGATCGCTGCTTGACGCTGTTGACATGTTGCATCGGCTGTTGGTTTGGTATTTGGTGGGTAGTTTCTTGAAGCTCTCGAGATACCGAATTGATATTTTTTGCCTAGATTGCGGCCTTGTAAACAAGTATACTACCTCCTGATGTCAATCGTCCCAATGGTTCTAGCATGAAGTATTTTCCGCAATCGATTCTCGCGTCTCGCCCCTCGACCTATCACGTTCCTCTAGCGGAGAGGCGTCATCCCATATTGGTATTCCCCCCATCGATAAACAATGAAACTACCAACTATGTCTACACCATGTCGGCATATGTTGTTCTCATCGTATAAGCTATCTTTCTGACATGGGGCATCATAGATACAATTGTACTCGAATATCCCGTCCATGACCTACTTTCCTCCAGATTCATGTCTAACTCGCACCCTTGACCAGCTCTTGTCCATTAGCTTCTACAAAGCGCCGTGCATGATACCACCCCCATCATGAGGTGTTCACGGTGTTGAACTTGATGTCGGGGAGGAACAAGGAGATTTCACGATGATACTTTGAAAAGTGCAGGACGTACAACGTCAGCGTCAACTCAGTGAGCCGGTCTCAACTCGTACTCGAAGCTTGTTTACATGGGACTTTCAGTTGTGGGTACTGAGAGAGAGCCCGTGAATCCCGCTTCAGGCGTAATCCCTTTTTCTTAAAAGAGTTATGGTGCTTTCTTCGTCACGGACCCCTCCCTCGTCGGTATACTACAAACGAGACGGGCCCCCTGCAGTTCAAACTGTCCCTGCATCGTCCGACAGAGCCACCAGTCATTTATGGTATTGTTACTTTATAACACAGCTAAGTCCCCAAAACCACTCACTCGGCCAGCGAGCATGCTGAAGAGCACGACACAAGCCGCCCGGTAATTGACCCTGAATTTTTAAGTCTGGTGTCGGCGATGACAAGATGTTCAGTGACGTCGATAAGAAGGTTGGCGGGCTTGATGTCGCGGTGTATCATCCCCCGCTTGTGGAATTCTTGAAGGCCAATTACCTGAAGAAAGGGGTTATCGGATGGAGACATCACCTTTACGGTAAAGGCACAAGTTCGACTTGAATATAAAATCGAGCTCGCCAAATTACCAGAGGCATAGGGCAGTACATCCAATTTGGGGTTTGTGAGAGAAAGTGCAAAGAGAGGGGGGATACGCACTCTTGCCAAGTAGAAATTGGCGTCGTAGGCCCGGAAGTCTCCAGATGGGTGAACCAAGGCGAATCGCGAAGACTGAGGAGAGCTACTTTCACTTCCACCGCCGCATCGATCATCTCAAAACTGAGAGGTGATTTCTTGATTACCTTTATTGCCGCACGCCGCTTTTGCCCCCGTCACCCAGTTCTTGGTGAGATACACCTTTCCGTATGTCCCCCCTCCAATGAAGTTGACAACGCATGCATGCCTGTGAAGCTGACTGGCTTGAAAAGCACCGGTATCCTATCACATTCTTAAGAGGTCTCGAGGGAGTTCGATGCCCGGAGGTGTGCTAGATGTTACAGGAGCTGTGAGGGAACTAAGTGCAGCAAGAAGAAGGCATACATCCAGCGGGGAATCGAGGCCGAATACGACGGGTTAATACGTCTCATATAATCCCGAGCGCCTTCAGTCGTCGTTCTCCTAAAGTATTTGAGCATCCACGATGTTCTCACGTCCGCCTTGTCCGGCGTCGAGGTAATAGCCATGGTGATAGCAAAAGGCGTGTCGCTCTATGTAGGGGGTCAGAACTAGTATAGGGGAACGACGTCGCCGGGCTCACATTATCGATTTGTGCAGCCTTCTGCCGAGAGCTAGGTGAGCTCGTCGAAAACGTAGCGCCGTAAAAGTATAAATCAGACTGGGCGACCTGATCATATATCAAACTTCATATATTGGCCACCAGCGGGATTCTATTGTGGCGTAAAAAAGGTCCTGTGGGGTGGTATAGGATAGATCGATATACCAAACCGATACCAAAACTGGTCGTTTTTTGATTTGCGACTCGGAGAAGCCATAGAAAATATTTGAGATTCAAATCCTATTTGTACGTCAACATTGAGCCATCTCTTGAGTTTTTTGCGACGTACTTCTGTGTCCTTTCTACCAAATGCTCAGTGTGAGATGGATGGTTTGAGATAAAAACGTGAGTGTCACACCTGGCCGTTACTGAGTGACACAACCTCTTCCCGGATAGACCATTGATCGGACTTGGATCGGACGTCAGAGGTGCGACAGTCAGATGCCCAATCCTTCCGACGCGCTGATGGGTTGCTTCAAGTACATCCTTCAAGAAGCACACGAATACCCGACGACATGAAATCTGAAGCACGCATAAGGGGGAAGCGCAGCATCTGAAACAGAAAAACGTACAAGCAGCCAATGCAGTAGCAAGCGCCGCATACATAGGCCCAATAAGAACCAATTTCCTCTCCTCTCTCTTGCCTGGGGCGCCCTTCTCTGGATCGGCATTGAGAGCAGCCCTGTTGCGAGGCTTCAATTTCCACCCCCACCAGTTATCTTTCGGAGACGGCGGCTTTTCCGTCAACTTGTCCTTAGACTCATCGTCGTTCGACTGTTCTTCCGCCTCTTTCTCATTAAGCTCAGGTAACACTTCTTCTCTCGTCTGTGAAGAGTTAAGGGAACTAGCCGGTGACGGGGTTTGTTTCCGCCTCCTATAGATCAGCTGGTAAGATGCGCAATTAGCAATGAAGCCTTCCCACCGACACTGAAAGACTCAGCTACTCCAGCTGCCTCCGTCGCTTGACGATGACGAGATTTTGGATCAGGGAGGTGCGCGAGGGTGCCTAAGGGACAAGGTCGTAATGGACGGCGATGGTTTTAGGAGAGCGCCCGCACAGCCAGTCAATTATTGGAGACGAACTGAAGATCATCCGAAGGTCAGGAATGTGCGGCCACTGTGTATCTGATGAAAGGTTGCAGTCTTCTATTTGAACGCTCATCACTCCTGCTCCCCGATTCCTTCAATTATGAACGCTCATCACTCCTGCTCCCCGATTCCTTCAATCCGAATATACTCTCTCCACCTCCGCCAATCTCGCAGTTCCTCCTCACCTTCATGATCCTCATCAGTCCATTGCTCACGTTTGCTTTGGCATCTCCCAGTTCATCTCCGTCCGCGTATACAAATGCCCAACTAAAGATACCGCCAACCACTATCTTGGTGCGTATTGTTCAAACCACCACCCCCATCTACTGCCAATACGGAGAGGGCTATTGTTTATACGACAAGGTTCGTCGTATACCCTACTAATTTATGTATATCGTCACTCACAATCAAATTCTGATCAGACCACAGGATTGATGACCACTGATCACGAATCCGGACACTGCCTTTTTGAAAGCCGTCGCGCTGCTCTTCCTGAATCTCCCCGTCAGAAGTTTGCTCGCCACGCAGAGATGAAGGTAAAGGGTCAATTTGGATCGGATAAGCGCGGTAAGAGATCGGTTTAGACGCCATTGAGTAGGTGGTGAGTACTAAGTAGTGTCGTCTTGTCAGTTGGGACTCAGTGACCCGTAAACACTTTAAGTGTTAGCGCAGATCAATAAAATCGGTCTGTAGACGCCTTGTTTGAGGGACTCGGCGAGGAAATGCAGGTGAGCCCAGCCCTCACTGTGACACTCAGTCTGAAATTTATGTGGGGAGTTTTAGGTACGGATGTCTCATGGGGTCCGGGGATCAGCTTTCTCAACCTCCTCCGGACTTCCATGCTGTCGGCCACACGGGCAGTTAGGTTAGTCACCTTGGCTCATTAGTAATGGGCCACCCTGCCCTGACAATCCATCAAATGGTATGGGTCTAGCCGGACGGCCGGTTTGATTACCGGACCCCATTGTCAAAGGGGCGGCCGGACCCTGAACAATCCACCAGTAACTATGTGTGGGCCGTCAGCAACAATGTCCCACACCACTGGAGCGGCTGGTGTACCTTGAATGTCATAACCCTCTGCGGGGTTGCCCTCCGCCGGGGTGTTGGTGACATGCCGGCGGCGATCATCCAGTTGAATACTTAGAATTAGAAGTCTGGCTTATACCAATCATGCATAATATTATCAACCTATGTATGCTGTTTGCTACAATTTGAGTGGAATCACTCTGCCAGACTAAGCACTGCACATTGCTTCTGAAACACTCCACTGGACTAAGCACCACACATTGCCTCTGCAGAAATTATGCATATTGGAATGATCTGTTGGAAGAAGCTTCACACATTTAATCTGCAAAAGGATTTCAGTACACCAGCAAGGCGATCACTCCACAAATATTGCTCCACCGGTTATATAATTTTTTTATGGTACACCGCCGGACCAGCCACCGCACATTGACTCTGCAAACATAGAAAAAGAATTATAATGAAGTTTGACACATTTACGTTGAAAACATATCTAAGTACACAATACCACTGCAAATATTGCCCCACCGGCGGTGTCATTTTTTTATGATACGCCACCAGACCAGCCACCACAAATCACCTCTGCTTTTATATTGAAAATTTATAATAGCCTGTTAGAATATTTTTGACACGTTTACACTGAAAACAGATTTTAAGTACACAATACCTCCACAAACATTGCTTGGCCGGCGGTGTCATTTTTTTTATGATACACCACCGGACCAGCCACTGTTTTGAAGAGTCACTTATGTGAAATGTACCTTTTCAAAGATTGTTTCAGCTACACAGAATGTAAAAATGACTGTCAACCCACATAAAAACCACCTCTGGAAAGCTGGAGAAAGCAGGATTTGAACAAGTTAGGCCCAACAATAGGTTTCTTAGGAAGAGAAGAAGTCTTGATGGTTTTCATTGTAAAATATACCTTTTCACAGATTGTTTCAGCTCTGCAGAACATAATAATGGCTGTTACCTCATGTAAAAGCCACCTCTGTAAAGCTGGAGAAGTCAGGATTTGAACAAGCTAGGCCCGACGATAAGTTGTTTGGGGAAAAGAAAAGTCTTGATGGTTTCTATCATAAAAAGTACCATTTCACAGGTTGTTTCAGGCCCGCAACATGTAATAATGACTTTTGACTCATGTAAAAACCACCCTTGAAAGGCTTGAAAAAGCATAATTCTAACGAGCTAGGCCCGACGATAAGTTGTTCGAAAGAAAAAAAAGTCTTGATGATTTTCGTTGTAATGCCACAATGCAGTCAAGGTTTGATAGAGATTATCAACATAAAACCCTCTTTTCTGTGTTTGTCAACAAAAACAAAACATCTCTTGAAGATTTTAACATGGTAATTACCATGGCATTGAGGTCTATCAGCTGGCTGGTTTTCAGGTTACATGGATTGAAATTGGGTGAGTGCATCGTTGTTCGTCGGGATGCAGGGTCTGTTTGCATGCAGCAGAGGGTCCGTGCACCAAGCGCATCACCTCAATTTGGAAATGTCTCAGGCACAAACAGAAACTTTGATGGTCCCTGCCTGGCAACAAGCAAGATAGCCGTACCATCCTCGTTGCCGCAACACCCTTTTCTGGTCCTGCATAATGCATACTTGGTTACCTCTGGCTATCAGAGCCAGAGCTCATATTAAGAGAAAGTGTGCACAGCTAAGTCTGAAGTACCATTAGATTGGTGGTATTTTTGGGGCAATGTGTAGTGCTTAGCTTGGCAGGGTGTTCTATGCAGTGGCTAGTCCAGTGGAGTATCATAAAGAAATGACACCGCCGGCAGAGCACCATTTGCGGAGGGATTGTGTACTCAAATATATTTTCAGTATAAATGTGTCAAACATATTCTAACAGGCTATTATACATTTTCTTAAAAGGAAGTGGAGGCAATGTGCAGTGGCTGGTCTGGTGGAGTATCATGAAAAAATGACACCACCAGCAGAGCAATATTTGCGGGGGGATTGTGTACTTAGATATTTTTTTGGTGTAAATGTGTCAAACACATCCTAACAGGCCATTATAAATTTTCAATATAAAAGCAGAGACAATGTGTGGTGGCTGGTCTGATGGTGTATCATAAAGAAAATGACACCGCCGGCGAAGCAATGTTTGCGGAGGTATTGTGTACTTAATATGTTTTCAGTGTAAATGTGTCAAATATATTCTAACAGGCTATTATAAATTTTCAATATAAAAGCGGAGATGATTTGCGGTGCCTGGTCCGGCGGCGTATAATAAAAAAATGACACCGCCGGCAGGGCAATATTTGCGGACATATTGTGTACTTAAATATGTTTTCAGTGTAAACATGTCAAAAATATTCTAATAGGCTATTATAAATTTTCAATATAAAAGCGGAGGTGATTTGCGGTGCCTGGTCCGGTGGCGTATAATAAAAAAATGACACCGCCGGCAGGGCAATATTTGCGGAGGTATTGTGTACTTGAATATGTTTTCAACGTAAATGTGTCAAACTTCATTATAATTCTTTTTCTATTTTTGCGGAGTCAATGTGCGGTGGCTGGTCCGGCGGTGTATCATAAAAAAATGACACCACCAGCAAAGCAATGTTTGCGGAGGTATTGTGTACTTAAATATGTTCTCAGTATAAACATATCAAAAGTATTCTAACAGGCTATTATAAATTTTCAATATAAAAGCGGAGGCAATTTGCGGTGGCTGGTCCGGCGGCGTATCATAAAAAAATGACACCACCAGCAGGGCAATATTTGCAGAAGTATTGTGTACTTAAATATGTTTGCAACGTAAATGTGTCAAACTTCATTATAATTTTTTTCTATGTTTGTGGAGTCAATGTGCACACTTGTGAGCATGTACAGAGGTTTATATACTTGGCTTCCAAACCCCTATGAAGGATCCAGATGAGTTTACCCTCTGTAGTCTATCCACCGCAGTCACAATCTACCCTCCGCAATCTATCCCCCGCAATATGCCCTCCGCAATCTATCCCCCACAATATACCCTCCGCAATCTATCCCCCGCAATATGCCCTCCGCAATCTATCCCCCGCAATATGCCCTCCGCAATCTATCCCCCGCAATATACCCTCCGCAATCTATCCCCTGCAATATACCCTCCGCAATCTATCCCCTGCAATATACCCTCTGCAATCTATCCCCTGCAGCTGCAATCTACCACCTGCAATCTACCCTCTGCAATCCACCACTTAGTCCCCCCATAGAAAACATATACAGAAGAAAACAAGAAAACCTCAGCAGTACCGCCCATTTACTAGTAATCATATGTATCAACTGTCTATTTAATTCTAGTGTTCTTTGCCCTAAACAAGATTTTTGTATTTCAAAAAATATGCAAGGACTACTCTGCCAGAGCAATTTCAAAGGCAGAGCCTTGTTTAAAAAATTGCATTGCTCCAGCAGTGCCATTTGAGAAAAATATACTGCTCCGGCGGTGCCATTTAAAAAAATAATACATTGCTCCGGCGGTGCCATTTGTAAAAATGCGGTGCTATTTATGCTCCAGTGGTGGCATTTTAAACAAGAATACATTGCCCCGGCGGTGCTATTTTAAAAAATAATACATTTCCCCGGCGGTGCCATTTTAAAAAATAACATATTGCTCCGGCAGTGCCATTTGTAAAAATGCGGTGCTATTTATGCTCCAGTGGTGCCATTTTAAACAAGAATACATTGCCCCGGCGGTGCCATTTAAAAAAATAATACATTGCCCCGGCGGTGCCATTGTTAAAAATATTTGCATTGCCCCGGCGGTGCCATTGTTAAGAAAAATACACTGCCCCGGCGGTGCCATTTTTGAAAAAAAAAATACATTGCTCCGGCGGTGCCATTTATAAGAAAAAAACATTGCTCCGGCGGTGTCATCTAAAAAAATACATTGCTCCGGCGGTGCCATTTTTAAAAATAATACATTGTGCCTGCAGTGCCATTTGAAAAAAATAGATTGCTCTTGCGGAGCCTCTTTGAAAAAATTCCACTGCTGCAACAGAGCTTCATTATATATATCTGGACCTCCAACACAGCTATTTAAAAAGTGTCTCCTATGAAAAGGCAATGTGTTTTTATTGGAAGGTGTTCTGCTGGTGTGTTGTATTCAGCTGTATTTCTGGGGGACATGCTATAGACAATAGTTAATGAAGGCTGCTTGTGTTTCAAAAGAAATTACAGTATCTCATCACCTTGCAGTAGGACTCTCATTGTGATTAATCATTCAGTATGTTTTTCAGTTGTAATGGCTCACATTCATGACATTTAACTGATGACTGCAGGCCTATCACTATGTATGATCACCATCTATGTTTACATGGTACACCGCAACTTGTGCCGCCAGAGGACAGGGTGCACCGCAAATTTCCCCGCCGGTCGATACCATGCATCAGGACCGCCGGTGAGACACTACGGTGTTGGTGAAAAGGACAGCCGGCGCGTGCTAGTGAGTCCCTGTAAGGATTGCGGCCGCACCATCACTAAAGGCACATCATAAGATTCCGGCCGTCCGGCTGGGCCCATATAGTATGGTGTTTTGTCACGTCCGGCTACTCCATTAGGTAAGGCACAACGTGACTAACATATGTGGCTGCGGAACGACGAGCGTGAGGCGGAAGCTGAGTGCGTTGAAGGTTATCATCTCTCAGTGCAATTCTAGATGGTAACCGTAGTTGTTGCTAAGTACCTCATGATAATCACTCCCATTTTCAAATGACGCCCAGGAGAGACGTTGGTGAATATAACGCATAAATTGGATAACTACACGCAGAGGTAAACCGCAACCCTGATGACAAGTTCCCCGCCACATTCAGGATCTAAAACGTTGGTCAGGAAAGTAGAAAAGCGACACCACCAAGTTGAGCTCGATGTACCGCATTTGAATAAAAACATTATTCAATCCCCGTAGAACCGATGCCACTCGGGGTCTCGTGTAATCTCTAGGGCTTCCTTGATTTTGTCGATGACCTCTTTGGCAGGGGGCATTGCAGTATCACGAGAGATATTATCCGCAAGGGTAAGACACCAATCCTCCTCGTGCCGACGAGGACCGCTATGATATGTGACGATGTGCCTCGTCGTCCGTCGCCATAGGCAATAACAGCGGGTGAATAGGGGTCCCATCGACCTCCTGACATATTGCCGCAAAACTTCTTTATCGTCCGTTTCGCCAAAGTGCTGCTGTCCCCACTCTACAAGCTCTTTGTGGGAAAAAGTAAACCCATAAATCATACGTCGCAGGACATGTCTCTTAGGCACGACTTGTCGTTGTTGGATGGAGGAATCAGGAGCAGGCAAGACTATTGAAGTGGTAGTGGAGTTCGCCATTCCAAAGACTGCAAACACAAACATGAATGAAATGAGCACAATGTAGATATTACGCAAGGAATTGGAAGAAACCTGGTGGTTCGTGTTCAAAGGAACTGCAGCGTTTGATGTGACATTATGGTTGAAATCCCATTGTAAGTCACAGGTCACAGGACCGCCACTGGTTCTCACGACCTTTATGACGCCACTTGTTGGTGTGATTGTAGTTGTAACCGAACCCCCAGTGATCATCTATCGTTTCCACACACAATCGAGAAAGCTCGATGCCTCCTAGGTCCTCCTCTCTTAGCCTTAAAGGCCGATTGATGAAATCTGTCTGCAGCTCCTTTCGTTATAATCCACGTAACATGGAGAATCCCTGGTATGGTCTCTGGACCATATCCCTTCTGAAACTGGAAGAGTCCTTCAACAATATCATCATCGTTCCACAGTATGCATTATGGTACACGCTGCCCGAAGAGGAACCAGAGATTGAATCCATAGAGGAACTTGATGAAGATGCTGTCAGTGAAGGTGGCGATCAGGATGAGTGTGGCGACGACTCGAGAGAGGACAACCCTGATGACAGCAACGACGAGTTGGATTTATTTAGGGATTCAGATGAGAGTCCCGTCCACATCATGCATGAGGAACCAGATATCTCGAGCCTCCCGGACATCGAACAAGATCCTGACATATCATTCGCTGAATCGCTGCGTACCATTCCTGATGGATCAGCTCCTCAAATCGTTCCCGACTTCGTCGCTCTCCACATTCTAGCCGAGAAATTAGAGTTCTCTTCCATCCCACGTCGCAGGCACAGATACGAGCGTCGGGCAGGTTACCGAATAATCCACGAGTGCTGCCCCCTCGTCGTCGAGATCAAATCTTTTCCTGGACGCGATCTGAGTCCAGCAGACTTCGAAAGAAAGCTTGACATACGTTTGGGGTGGGCTATCCAAGATCTCGGGTTCCAGTGTTACCATTTTTTCAAGATGTACGAACATGCCCTTCGCACGGTGGTAATCGCTGCTAGCGGTGATTATTGGACGTACCGTATTGTTACTCGGGCTGATGTGCCCAGAGCCGAGGGCGACGTCATGGATACCCAACTTTGGGATGAGCTCGAATTTCCACCTCCCGTGGTATTGGGTACTCGAGATTCTGACCAAAGAATGAAGGACATCTCCGATTACCTCCGCAATGCGAAGCCTGCTCAATTAGAGAATTAAACTACTTTCAACAGGTCTTATTCGCTTAGCATCTGTCTATCATATGAAGTCTGAAACCCCGAGACACCGTCTCTAGATATTAGATAGATAGATAGATTATATTCCGTAGCGGTCCCAATAAGGAACAACCGGTTCCCGACACACAATTACAATTGTGCTACGGAGCACACCACTCACTGTTGCGATCATCAGTATTTAAGCATTTGAGTTTCCACGGGTTTCTACACCTGGGCAACCCACGGAAACGAGCAAAAACCGTGAAACTGGGAAACTTGGCAACCTATGTCATCTTTCCCGGAAACCTCTCAAAATGACAAGCTACAGAAACCTCAGAAACCTCAAAAACTAACAGAAACTTGCTAACTACAGCTAAACTATATAAATCTGTGGGCCATACTCGACGACCGAATATAAAAAACAGAACGTACCTTCTTCTCTACCAATCATACAATGCAAGTCTCATTCCTTTCTTCGCCAGGACCGTCCGACTCATCAGGCCAGCTCTTCCAACATCTCAAACCAAACTCGTGAAAAATCAACGGAAATTTTACATTTGTCTTTAACGCCCCATCATTATGATGTCGCTAGTCCATGAAAAAAAAAAGACGCCAAGAGGCGGAACGTCCACTTTGAATGGCCCCGAACGCAATCTGGTCGTTGCATATCGCGGGATCGTTCATTCGTTTCGTATTCCTCTGAGTCTCGGGAGGAGCAATGGATTACTGACGTTGCTAGTAGTCGTAACTTAGGCGCAGGTTGGTGGAAACGAAGACGAACTTACGTCATCACCTAGTCATCACAGCACCTTGGGCCTGGCGCTTCTCAAGGGCTAGGGGGCCTCAGAGGCCAATTTTTTGTCTGGTGGTAATTGGCTTCTGAGGGGGTGATCCATTGCGCACGCTGTCATTCTAAAATTAGCTCCGGCTGATGGTTGCCGGTGTCCGGACACATGCTCCAGATGAGCGCTTGCGCTCGCATAGCCAGCGACGAATCCCTTCTGACGACAAATTGTTGGAATTTCGGGAGCTTTACGAGCATGCGCAATGCGCCCGATCTTCGGATTTCAGTTGCATTTCAGGTGATTCCTTCCATTGATTGTTTCCGTGGCTCCATAGGGGTATTTTACCTTTATCCCCTTATATTTCGTAGCTTACAGTATATAAGTATACGACGACATGTATTGTAGCAAATCATCCGTTTGCCTCTGGCACTTACTACAGAGACAACCGGAATTCAAGTTGTCTTACCCTGATCACGCGACGCTTGCTGATTCAATTTCAACACCCTTCACTGGATATTGCACGTGAACGAGGAGACCCCAGCGGGGTTCTAAGCTGCCATGTCACCAGATTCTGGTGACGGCGTCCCAAATTTGGCAGGCGGTCACAATACGCTGGTGACCGCTAGGCAGCTCACCTAAACGCGTGCGGTATTCGTCTCTTTACCTCTGTACCACCACCGTTTCTCGCCTTTTCCATAATTTATTCGCGTTCCCTACTACTTTATGTCCATTTAATACGCCCGACATGAGCCTCCCTAACGACGATAACGAAACCCTGCACGCCCTGACGCCAGGCACGAACACACCCGCCGCATCAACGGCGTCAAACGCCGACGTTCTCCTTCCATCAACACCACCTTCATCTGCCGACGTCCCAATCGACCCCCAGCTTCTCCATGCCGACTTCTTTCCTGCTCGAAAACCCGATGGCAGTCTGGTCTCGGAAGAAGCGTACAAAGCCCACCTGTAAGTCCCTCGCCTACTGTAATCAACGTCCCTGGATATCTCATCTTGCCTTCAGCTTCACCATCAGAAAGAGAGAGCCCCTGCGGGCGGCATGCTCTCATTTCAAGATTCGTTTTGCAACGCGAGCCAACCTAGAGTTTTTGTGGAACGCCCTTGTCCGCCACTGGTACGTATGCTCCTTGACTCCGCTTTTGATTTTTCTTTACAAGTCGCTTCACAGGTATCCAGCACGAGCAACTACAAACCCCTCGCCTGATCACGCTGTGGCTGGTCCATCGAAAACACTTTCCATCGTCATCCCCCCACGCCCAGCTCACTCTGTAGGCCAATCAAGTGGCCAAACTGATCAAGAAATCCTTGAAGCCGATTTCGATGTCGACGACGAAGCATTGACAAAGCAGTATGACGTGGGGGAGGGGGTTGTGGAAGCCGTATTTGGGGCCCTTGACACCGGTGGCCTCGAAGAGGAGGATGAGGACGAGGAGTCGGAGGACATTGACCTGGACGATGACGGTACGAGCTTTCTTTCGTTGTTACTTTCACAATGATCAAGCTATCCTTTCTAGCAACCTATAAACAGTTTCAGACCAGTGTGCGTGTGTCAGCGGCTCAAAGAACGGAAGCCAACAGGAGGGCAGGTGGCAGAAAGACGCAGAAATGCGTCGTGAAGTCATGGAATGTGAGTCCGCACTATCTATCTCGTTCCACATGTCAATAGCTCCTTTGTTGCAGATTTTCCAGAAGGAAGCTCTTGCGGCAGGCAAGCTCCGCGATGACATAGTCGACGAGCACGCTCTGCTGCTTTTCGTTGACTTCTGTGCTAGACGTTGCAAGCGAGACCGTCGAGGAGAGTACATACCCAACACTCGCATCGGCGCTGTAAGTACCTCAATATTTCTAGTATAATCGTTGATAACACTCTTCAGTCACAAATAAAAAAAGAGTTCTTTGGTGCCTTGCGTATCCGAAAGGTTCAAGATGCTCGCGATCCAACCCTGGCTATCAAGCGGCCTGCCACGACCGTCCATGTTTACGATGCGGTCAAGACTCGCATGGACGAGGCCCTACAAAATGCACGCGAGTAAGTCGCAACTCCATTCAACGTCAACGCGACGTGACGAACTTTCTGCAGGGGGCTCATTCCTGCTGAGGATGCCCCTGACATCATTGCCAACACGTTTCTCGCCCAGCTGTCAGACGAGACCCTCACACGCATTCGATACGGTTTCCTGGAGCACCGAGAGCGTACGTTTGTCTGACTGAACAGCTATCCCCTCAACATTCATTTATATTATTTTCAGTGAAGCCAACTATCAACGGACACCTGGCATGGACAATGATGAATGCAAGCGGTAACCGCGGAGACGACATCCGGGCATTGCGGTTATGTGAAATGCAGCCGTATCAGTTTCTACATCCTAACGGCGAAACGAGCATCCCTGCCGTTCTAGGTTTGCAATCTGACATGGAACAGAAAGCTCGGTCCAAAGGGATGAAGACGGTAAGTAAAATTTCTGCTGTTGATGACCGAACCATAACTCAGACACGTTGTAGACGATAAATCCTACCTATACATGTTTTATTGCACACAGAAACCCTGAAATGTGCTCGTTGGGAGCCTTCGCTTTGTATCTACATTACATCCACGACGTAGCCGATGTAGACACTAAATATGATATTGACTATACTGTGAACAAATCGTGGCATGCTGTGAGTATTTCTGTTTCTTTCTCATTGAATGTTGGCACTTACCTTGGTATCTTTTTTCTTCAGATCAGACTGATTCATGGGTCATCGGCTACCGTTCCCTACAACGAGACAGCACTCCAAAACCTTTTTGTCCAGTCTTATAGAAAGGCTGGTGTTGAGTCTAATCTCAAAGCTCATCTTGCTCGCCACATGCTAGGATACCACCAAGAAAAAATGGGGTTCGTCTCTTGTTTATCTCGTCCACTGCCAAAATCGGTTACAATGACTTTAGTGTGCGATCTGAGGAGACATCCAAACTCGGATGGTCGCGTGATACCTACCAGAACACCTATGCGCCAGCGCTCCCAAAATCGGTATCGTATTTATGACCATTCTTCCATTTTGTGCTCATCAAACATATGTAGGCGATATTGGGCGCTCACGGTTACAAACTACATGAGACTTACAATCCATCATGGATTCAGGTGGAGGTACCCAAGCCTTTCTTGGAGCTAGTTTGCCCTGCAGCAGAGAGAAATATTGAGTCGGTTAAAGGTCTGGTGTCATCAATGATTAGATTACAGCGCACTTAGATCAATTATAGGCCTTAAGGATCGAGTCGGGGCCACAAATTATTGGGAAATGGTCATCTGGCTTCGGCCGTACTTATTCCAGGTATGCACAGGCCTA